TTCTAGCTTAATCTTTTGAGTATCTTCTTCCTGGCTTAGGAGACAAGCTCACACCAATGTGTCCCTCATTTATGCCCTTGTATTGCTTATTAGTGGTTCATAAAAGGGAGGAATCTTTAATCCCTAGTTTTCAATCCCCTTCAGCAGACTGTGCTGCTTTTAGTAAATTATAGAAAGTTAAAAAACAAAGCTATTGTTTATTTTCATTAGAATTAAACTCTCCTAATTGACTGTTTTGACTCCAACTTTGTTCAAAGTCTTCTGTGCAAATTACGCTACTGAGAACTGCTGTGTGGAAGTATTTGTACTTAGGTCTCTATCTTGCCTCACCATCACTAACTGCAATGCTTTCTGTTCAGTTTAGTTGTCTGCTTCTTTTTGTGTTTGTATTTATAGCTGGTGAAAATAAGTTTGTATTTATGAAAGATGACCTCTAACATCTGTTAATGGGATAGGAGCCACGCTAAATTGCGAGGATTCAGAAAATAAGGTTCATGGGACTTACCACCTAGGGAACAAGTCAAATAAACAAATAGAGTGATGTGTGCAAGGCATTATTGGCATGATGAGAAGAGATGGCCATGGTGCCCACTGGTGAGGTAGTAGGGATTAGGGTAGAGGAGTCTTTTTAGATAAGGTTAGATTTAGGTTGAACCTGCAATATAAATAGTAATTCAGCAGACAAAAAGAGAAGGAAAATTGCAGACAGTAGTAGTAGGCGTAAAGGCTCAAAAATGTAAAAGACATGGTTTTGAAGTGGTTGGAAAACAGGCAGGTTTGGTCTCCAAGTACAGCAGTTAAATATTAGCCCTGAGACCAGAGCATAGATGGGAAGGAAATGTGTCTGGGAAAAATAAGTTAGGGTCATATCACACAGAGTCTTGAATGCTAGACAAAAGATCTGGACACTCATTTGTGTGAGTGTGAGTGTGTGTGTGTGTGTGTGTGTGTGTGTGTGTTGGGAAGGTTGATATATACATTGAAGAATTTTAAATAAATAAAAAATCACAGTTGTGCTCCATCAAGAGCTTTTCCATCAATCCTGACCAGTCCATTTTATTCTACCTAACATATATATTTTTTCTTTAAGCAGATGGTTCTGGAATGTCCTTGGATGTCATCTTGTTTAGTTTAACCCACTCCTCTTTGTTATTTTAACCTAAACCCAGGTAATCAAGGCCAAGATTTTAATTGTCTCCAGCATCGGGCAGGATAGGGCTGGTGGTTATTTTAAAAGGCCCCTGGCTGCTAGAAAGAGAGAGAAAACCAATGAGGTTTGTGTCCAGGAGTATTTCCAGTCTTTTTGCTTCCTGTTCGGCATTTCTGCAGTAGGCTTTGTAAAGATTTAGATGAAAATCAACTATGGATTCTTCGCTAATTGACTTGGCCAGGTTTAATCTGTTATTGGTCAAGCCAAGCTGGCTTCTATTATGCAGTGCACTGAGGATTTCCGGCGTTGCTCTTATCCTAATGGAGGCTGGCTGTTTTTAGAAGCAAATCTTGGTGTTGGTGAAGGCCGGTATCATTGTGTCCTCTGAAGTGAATCCAGAAGGACGCCCATCTGATATAGCATTTAGACCTTTGACTACAAAGAGTGAGTCTTGTATTTGGCATTTATATGCTAGAAAATTAGGTTTTGTTTTAGTTTCATTTTTTTACTCCCTAAGAGATAAAACTTCTTATTTGTTTCTGCCTTTAAGTTGTATTGTGGAAATGCTTAGGGTACCCAGCCCAAGGAGGCAATGGGACATCTTCAGAGAGTGGCTTCTCTTGGCCCAGGAGATCAAGGAGTGACCTCAGAAGACAGGACAGGGCTGTCCTATTACTGTAGGCCCAGCATCTCTGGCCTTTACTGAGCCCCCTCTCCTGAGGTTGTCCAGTCCTTAACACATAGATTAACATGGCTGGGGAAAGAAAAGAGACATTCTGTTGTGGGGTTGAGATAATTTATGAGTACTATTAGCATTAAACCATCACTGATAGTTGTTTGTGTCAACAGAGTAGGTACAAAAGAGATCCTGTGTCTAGAGAGTTTATGGAGATAGAAAAGCAGACCATCAGGGCAAGCCCAGAGGAGAGGACACATGTCTGCCTCTGAAGTGCATGTGAACTGAGGAGAGGAGTGGAGAGTCCCATTTTTCCTATGATCGTGAAAGGATGTTGGATTTCCTAGAGCCATTTTCATGAGTGTGGTGAGGGCATGCTGTATATATTTATGGTCATTCAGAAGTAACCTGCCCTTCCCCACCCCATCAGTCACTCTGACAAATCCTTGCTGGTGCTTTGAAGAGTTTGCACCATTTTTCTGGAGGAAGTCACTTATGTAAAGAACATTTACACTATAGAGCTTGCTCATAGAATATGCTCATAGAATTAAGATCAACTTAGAACTCTATAAAGAAAGATATAGTCATATGTATATACACAAACATACACAGGTATTTTATAGGTTTTAGAAAGCCAGTCTAACATCTGATTTGCTTTCCTTATTAATTCCATTCCCCTTAACCCCCTTTGTCCTCATCTGCACCCCTGACTTTAAGTGAATTCCTCAACAAAGCCTCATTTAAGAGATGCTACAGGCCCTGCATTTGAACTACCTCACAGAACTTGATTTTGGAAATTTCTCCTCTACAACCTCTCCCCAGTCCCCTTTGACCTTCCAGTTAGCCAGGCCATCATTCCATGGCCCAACCTTGACAAATCTGTGTCATCTGGTGCATTTTGGCACCAACTGGCACCAGTTAATCTCCTAGAGCCTTGCTGAGCACCCATTGGGCATCAAAGATGATGGCAGGGACAGGGCTGTATCAGAACAATAACACACATTGTGGGCCCAAGCAAACTGCTAGTTTAAAAGCAGTTGTGCAAAAGTTACACATGTGTTCTCTTTCTTGAAACTTCTGCTGTGATGAGGGCTATCGCTTTGTGAACTTTCATTTTTATTTTTTATTTTTGGATCCCAGTTCTTTTATTCTTTATTTGGGTATTCTAGAATCTTGAAGCTTGTACAAGAGAATGAGAATCATGGTTACTAAAGCAAATCAGACCTGAAGGGAATTTAAACTATTGTCAATTTATCTATGAAGATGCAGAAGTTCATTGAAATAGAGTGAATTGTCTAAGAGCATACAGCCAGTGATTCCCAGGACTAGCAATCTAACCTCCTGATGTTTGTTTAGTGCTTTTACCTTAAGTTTGTGCTCATCTAGCATAGAAGTATGCAGCATGCATTACAGCCATTTGTATGTATTGATATTTATTCCAATTAGAGTAAAATTGCACATAACAGGTAGCATTATTGAGTAATTAAGTGGCTGACATTGTTCTAAGCACTTTAGGTATGCAATAACATTTACCCTTATGACAACCTCTTTAGGTTCACCTTATTATTATTATTATTATCAATTTACAATAAAAATACCTGAGACATGGAGAAATTAAATAACTTGCCCTTGGTATATAGGGAAGTCCTATTAGATCATAACTTTCCGACACTGTGTTTGCATCAGCAAATATGTACTGAGCATCTGGAATAGATGAAGCCTCTTCTAGTGAGAAATAAAGACCTGTGAGTAGCTCTATCCCAATAGCACATAGTGATGGCTGCAACAGGCATATACAAGGAAAGGACATTGGAGTGGTCTTGGGGATGCCTAGGAGTTTGCTAGCTTGAGAATGAATGAATGCTTTTTGTGCACAAATGGATAATGTGTTCAGGGGAAAATCAGGAGGATAAGAAGTTCAGGGTGCTAAAAGGCAGAAGCATGATGGTATGATAAAGATGTTGTTATACAGGGCTAGAGAGGCAGGTTGGGTGCCAACTATGAAGTACCAGCATTCCAAGATAAGTAATTTGGATTATTTCCAGTAAACAGAGAGGAGCCAAGGGAAAATTTTATGAGTAGGGAAGTGACAGAATCAGGACCCAAAAGACTATAGAAGCATGGGATGACTGGGGACAAGGACACCAATGAGGAGGCCGATGCAGTTGTCCAGGTGGAAATGAGGGCCTGGACTCCTAACAGCAGCATCTGATGTGCACAGACTGTTTCTGCTTGTTTTTCATGCTCCTACTGGGGCTTGGAATGCTTTCTTTCATCCAGTCTTGTTAGAACTGCAGGCCCATCTTTGAAGACTAACCTTAGGTGTTTGATACGGAGAGTCTCAGAACAGGCATACTCGCTCCTTCCCTTGTGCTCTGCTGTCTCTGTACATTCTTCTTCCTCCCTTGGCACACATAAAGTCGTGTTGCACGTCTTTGTGTACATTCCTCTTTTCTGCTTACACCCAGGTCCTTGAAGGCAGAACCAGACCTCTGCCTTCTTAAATACTTGGCACAGTGCCTGACATTCAGTGAACTCTCAATAAATGTGAGATGAATGAATAAACTTACTAAATAAAGGCAGCAACTATGGATATGGAAAGAACAGGCCAAATTTGGGAGACGATTTTTTTTAAGTTACATCAGGGTTTGGAAAGCCATGGCCCATGGGCCAATCCCAGCCTCCTTCTTTACTGCTTTTGTAAATAAAGTTTTGTGGGAACACAACCAAACTCATCTGTCTACGTTTTGTCTGTAGCTGCTTTCATGCTACAATGGCAGAGTTAATTTATTGTGACAAGACCAGATGGCCTGCAAATGCGAAAATGTTTACTCTCTGGACCTTTGCTGTTAAAGTTTGTCACCTCTAAGTTAAGTGGCCAGGATCAGTGAATGGAAAAAAAAAGGGGGGGTGATGGAGAGGAAAAAGTTAAGACTTTTCCTTTTCTCTTATCTAGTACAGCACTTGGGTCCCCGGTGATAGCATTGACCAGTAGGCCTGCAGGGACTGAGAAAGCAACACCCAGGATTGTGGGGCAAGAACGAAAAGGGAGCCTAAGACAGTAAGGTAGAAAGAGACCATATAAGGAACATCAGGGCCATGAGCTATTAGGTGGAGTTGATCTACGTCCTGTTTCTCCCTGGTGAAGCTTCTTGTGCTTGTCCTCTCTTTCAGTCATCCAGTTTGGCTTTGTCACCATCTTTGTGGCCTCCTTTCCTCTGGCACCTGTGTTTGCCCTCCTCAACAATGTCATTGAAGTGCGGCTGGATGCAAAGAAGTTTGTCACGGAGCTGAGGCGGCCAGATGCTGTGAGAACCAAAGATATTGGTATGTCCCCTGTTTAGAGGCGGTAGAAAACCCATCCCCACCACCACCTTCTCACTGTGTTGGGAATCCATAAGGTTGGGGAAGCCATTGCTTCTTTACACCTTTGAACTTCTCATCCTCATTCTCATCCTCATCCTCATCCTCATCCTCAGATCTTCAGATATTGGGAGGCTTTCAGAGGCTACATTATCCACCCCCAGTTGTGCCCCTGGTCTCTAGACAGGAGAGTACTTAGACTTCTTCAGACAAGCCTACTCCTGAGGCCCCAGCCACCCTTCCCCAGTAACATGCCTGCAGAGCATCACCCTGAGCCACAAGGTTGTCATCACTGGGCCAAGGGTGGGAGTGAGCCAGACGCCTTCCATTCTGTCTTTCAGGGATTTGGTTTGACATTCTCTCCGGAATTGGCAAGTTCTCCGTTATCAGCAATGTAAGTGCTTATATTCATGAAAACCTAACTCTGTGGGAAGGGCATTCCTGAGGAGCTCAGGTTTTACAAGCAGGATACCAGTCCTTGTCACCTCTCAGTCTTTTCCATTTGGAGCTTTATTTAAGATAGACCCCTGGTTAATAGTGTGTACAAGCCTTGTAATTCTGTTGCCAGAAGCATGCCACTTAATTGTTAATTTCATTAAGAGTAAGAAGGGTAATTACCCACCACAATGCAAAACTTCTCCTTAAGAGGCAAAATCAGATCTTTGCTCAGAGCCAAGAATAATAAGGAAAGAATTCCACGTATCTATCCATCTCTTTCCTTTCTTTTCTACTCCCAAGCTAAACAATACCTGGAGCATTGCCCAGGCTGCAATTCCTAATTAGAGTTCCTCAAGGTTGTCAATGTGAAATTTTAATTATCCCCAGGGACTCTGGCACTGCGTGGGTGAAGATAGGACATGGAAGAAGAGGGGTCCTACCTGTTGTGACTTCCTTAACTGCCTTGCCAGACATGTCCACATTTCAAAGGAAATCCTGCTGGGCCCAAGCCAATAGCTCCTTTTGCTTCTGCCTTCTGTACGGATGGTAGCCAGGCAGGGCCTCTTCTTCCATCTCCCAAGTAAATATCAACCAGACCAGTGAACACCAAGAAGCCCACAGCCTATTTTCTCTTGGAAGAGAAACATTGATCTTAGGAGAGACCTAGTTCTGTATCAAGAACACATAAACTGGCTGGAGAGGTGTGACTGGAGGCAGAGAGAATCAGCTCACTGCATTTTGAATGTTTGATGTAGGAAACACACATTTTGAGAAATAAGGTGCAATTTGGAAAATAGATCAATAGCTTTTGTAAAACTCCTTATCTCTGAGCTCTCATAGCTGACTTACCTGGCTTTTCCACCTTTGCCATGTGTGGAGTTGTATCTACTAAAAAAGAGGCCCTGAGTACTATCTACCTATAAGTACTTTCTACCTATACAGTAGAAGGAAACTAAGTTGTACTTTACTGACCTCTCTAAGACTTTTGACTTATCTTTGAAAATGTAAAAGAATAAGAGTATCCATCAAACAGGATCATTCTGGAAGTTAAACGAGATGATAAAAGGACTGATAGCCAGTGCTCAGGTGTAGCTGTGATTGTTAATAAGTATGTTACTCATTCTCAGATATGGTTATGACCATCCACACTCATGCGTACCTTGAGAAAACAATGCCTAAACTACATTTTTAAAAGGGGCTTTAATTGTTGATGTGGAATATAGTGTAAACACTTGCCAAAAAAGATTTAAGATTTTCCTTGCAGAAAGTATGTCCACATTCAAACATATAATTATTCATTTGTCATTTGGTTTGCTCCATAGACATTTATAGAATGCTTAGATATTGCCAGACACTACGTTGGGTATGTGTGGCTCCATCCAGGAGGACCTAATCATTTACCCTCTGTGTCTCACTTTTCCTAAGTAAAATGAATAAAAGAATTATTTCCATTATATAATATGCCAAAAAGTTCCAAGAGGTCATGGTCAAACTGAGGAAAGTGTTGAATCACATCCTTGGTATTCCTGGCTTCTCATGTCACTCAGGGGCAAATGTACCTGGTCATTCAGAATCCTTGCTCACTCTACTTAAGTGGCACTTGCATCATTTAGTAATTTTCTCTGAAAGTCTTTCACTCTGCTTTGGCTTGGTCAATACCAACTATCTTAGAGGTGATTTATTCCCTCCAGCACCAAATTGTCCAAATGGTTTAGCATTCTTTTCTAGAGTGGTTGTAATTTACTCCCCTCACAGCCACTGTCTTATGGATTTGCTTATACATGGCAAACGTGGAAAAGCCAGGTAAGTGAGCTATCAGAGCTGAGATAAGGACTTTTACACCAATCAGAGCAGAAGCTCTGGATGGAGAACCCAAGAGGGGATAGTCAGATGGGCCCAGTGACAACTGGATAGCATCCATCCTGACCTCTCCTCAAGTGCTTGTGGTTTTGTTCCTCAGGCTTTTGTCATTGCCATCACCTCCGACTTTATCCCCCGCCTTGTGTACCAGTACTCCTATAGTCACAACGGAACTCTGCATGGCTTTGTCAACCACACCCTCTCCTTTTTCAACGTCAGTCAGCTGAAGGAGGGAACACAACCTGAAAACTCACAGTTTGACCAGGATGTTCAGTTCTGCAGGTAAAGTAATGATGATGAGGAGGGAGGCAAAGGACCTGAAATGGTAGATCCAAATAATTATCTGGATGACCTAGACTTAGATTATTTTCCTTTCCTTCTGTCTTCTAACCCACCCCCAATTTCTATAAATTAATTTCCATAAATCAACAAATACTTATTGAGTGCCTTTTGTTAGACACTGTGGAGCAAACAAAGAAGTATATAGCCTCTTCTTTACCATCCAGGGGTTTATGGTTTGATTAGGAAGAAAACAAGCAGAACATACAGGAAACAGCAGGTTATTAAGTGATTATATCTAGTATGGACCATAAACATTGTGGGTATTCAGAGGAGAGTGAGACCGCTGTTGGTTAGAATGGAGAAGGTAAGCTTCCTGGAGGGGCCAAGAGGAATTCTAGGACTCTAGGCAGGGAGTCACCATGAACAAAGTAGTGGAGGTATTAGATAAATACTTAGGGGGCTAGGTGATGTAGTTAGCAAAGAATGTTCTTAAGAGAATAATATAGGTAATACAATATAGGTAGAAATTCCTAGAATAATATAAGCCAAAAACATTGTTGAACTTGAATAAATAGGATAAAATAGTTGATGGGAAATTTTGAAATCTTACAAGAATTTTAATGTGATATAATAAGATATTGACCTTTTTAGAGACAAGGAATGATAGGATAAAGGTAGGCTTAGGAAAATTGATCTGGTCTTATTGAGGAAGATAAACTAGAATTGGGGGAATTCAGGGAGGGCTGCTAAGTTGCTGCATCATTCAGATATGAACCATAGTGGGAACAGACCAGGTGGAAGAGAAAGAGAAAAAAAATGAACTATTTTATTAACATATTGCAAAATTAGTGATAAGATACATTAGAGAGAGAGTCTGAGTTAAAGATATCTTCAAAGTTTGGATTCAAGTCAGAGGACTAGGAAATTGTGGGTCCATTGACAGAGATGGGGATGACACTGAGTGAATCTAATTTTATGTTACATGTAATAAATTTTATTTCAATTATGTTGCATTGAAAATATTGGCAGGAAATCCAAGGATAAATTTTCACCTAACTCCTAGACATAAGCTGGAATTCCAGAGAAGTCCAGATTAGAGTTATGATTAAAAATTTAAATGCAGGGATTATTGAAGTCAAAAGCCAGAAAACTCTCCATTATTTACCCAAGAAGGGCAAATAAAGAGAATATTAAAGAGTACTAAATTATTTAACACTTTTGTACCCTGATCAAAGATCATACCTCATAAATAAAAATATAGAGTCGAGACCGTTTGGCTCAATGGATAGAGCGTCAGCTTGGGGACTGAGGGACCCGGGTTCGATTCCGGTCAAGGGCATGTACCTTGGCTGCGGGCATATCCCCAGTAGGGGGTGTGCAAGAGGCAGCTGATCGATGACTCTCTTTCATCGATGTTTCTAGCTCTCTATCTCTCTCCCTTCCTCTCTGTACAAAATCAATAAAATATATTTAAAAATAAATAAATAAATAAATAAATAAATAAATAAATAAATAAATAAATAAATAAATAAAAATATAGAACAATAACTAAAACAAAAATAAAAACCTAGGGAAAGGTATGGTTGGGAAAATATGACTTTCTTAGACAATCCCTAGTGGTATCTGACGTAAAAGCTGTCGATGACTCCATTGAAGAAGCAGTGTTTTAACTGTGTTTTCAGCAATTATGACCCTAGGCATGTCTGTCATACTTTCACACCTGGGACACCTTGGTATTCAAGATCAGCCATTTGTAAAATGGCTGCTTCAGTTCAAAAGTTCAAAATGAATTGGTCTTTCAACCCAGATGGCTGAGTTAAACAACCTTACTAATTTCTGACTTAATTAAGTAGAAGGGTATTCTGGACCCAGGACCAGTAACTTAAGCCAACCAAGAAAAAACTCAAAATCAGAGACCAGATTAAATTTATTCATAGACATCAATTTATATCAGCCTGTTTTAGGAATTTTTATACCTAGGGCTATGGAGACTCTAGCTCTTAGAATAAAGACATATGCCAACAGATTTGCTATTAAACTATGCACTACCCAGGGCCACTCTTCTGTGTGTTTGGAGTATCAGACTGTCCAGGTTGCTGGATTTTGGTCTGTGGATCTAACAGACATACTTCTACTGCTCAGAGAAGGTCTGTACCCGCTCTAGGTCTTTTCTAGTAGCACCTAGATCTGCTCCAGCAGAGTCCATGGATTCAGTCAACAGGTTTACATTAAATAAGCAGGCACTGAAAAGTGCAAATTATATAATCATTTTTATCACTGGAACTTACCACAGAAATTATCTTGTTGAAACTCCTCATTCTACATGAAAAGAAACTGAGGCTTAGAAAGTTGAAGAATCCCCCAAGATCATAGAGGTTTCTATGACAGATCCTAAGCTAAAATTCTTATCTATCCAAGAACACAAACCTCCAACCCCATGTGTTTGGTGGGGAAGGGGAGGGAAGGAACAATAGCAGTGTGTCTTGTAGTATGTGGAGGCAAGGCTAACACTATCTGTTTATTTAGTTAGTCTGGAAGCACTGAGGTTTGCTGATATTTCCCCTGGCTATCAGATTTTCTAGTAACACATATGAATATGCTTTCCAGATATATCAGTGGCCTAAACTGCCTTAAACACAAAGTGACTTTAATGACCCCCATAGTGAAAGTGGAGGGTAAACCTACTTTTAGGCAAGGTTTGATTCAACCAAGTTTTCTCTAACCAAATCTTTCATCATCTCCCAAGTCCATTTCAATTGACGTTGTCTATAGCTTTAAGATCTGCATGACTGCCAGCAGCTACCGGCCATTGGAATAAAAGCCCATAATTCTTTCCCAATGACCCCAGCAAAAGTCTCATTGCAGCTCATTTATTAGGATCAGTACGCATGCCCTACCCATAAACAATCATTCTAACCAGAGAAATGTGATACTCTCCATGGCTTTGAGGCCATTGATGTGGGGTTTGGAGGGTGAAATCATCTCCAGCTGAAGCATATGATCTCTGAGTTGGAGGTAGTTCCCTAGTGGGAAGACAAGATGAATGGATACCACTTGGCTAAAACAATACATGCCCAGGACATCAGGTAATAGTATACATGGATCAGACTGAGCTTTATTGTATCCACCTTCAGAGTCACCAGATTTTCTAGTCAGTTGTAAGACCCCACTAATTCTTCTCTCCGTTGTTTCAATGCAAGTCGATGGGATTTTGGGTTATCTATTACCCCCCCCCCCTTTTTAATTTAAATTCTTTAGTGTTTAAAGTATTACATGTCTCCTGTTTCTCCCATTGACCTCTTCCTGGCTGTTCACATCCCCCAGCACATGCCCTCATCCCCCTACTGTCTGTGTCCTTGGGTTATGCTTATGTACATGCATAGGAGTCCTTTGGTTGATCTCTTAGCCTCCCCTCCCTTGCTTTCCCTCTGATGTTCAATGGTCTGTTCAATGCTTCTATGACTCTGGATCTATTTTTGTCCATTAGTTTACGTTGTTCATTATACTCCACAAATGAGTGAGATCATGTAACATTTATCTTTCTCTGACTGGCTTATTTTGCTTAGCATAATGCTCTCCACGTCATCCATGCTGTTACAAATGGTAAGAGTTCCTTTTTTTACAGCAGCATAATATCCCATTGTGGTCCCCCTTTTTAAAAAATTCTGTGACTGAATGGCAAAATCATCAATAGGTGCATGGGGAGTGTATTCTATATTTCCAACAAGAAATTTTATTCACAGAAAATAGATCATTCTAAAATCAAATCAAAATGATCTTTGAAATATCTATTTTTTTTCTCATTTAGTACCAGTGAGGATTATAGATTCACTAATGCAACTGGTTTTGAGACCTTAATGGCTTGGCATTGGTTATGTGATAGAGAATAAGACACAGTGCCTCCCTCACGGTAAAGGAGATGAATAAGTAAATAAGCAATTAAAATATAGTTTTAATAATTTACAATTGTGTCACTTCAGGGAGCTCTGAGAGCCCCGAGGGCAGAGGCAATGCACTTCTCTCAGACTTAAGAGGTCAGGGGAAGCTTCAAGGGAGGTGGAATTTGAAGAATGAACAGAAAAGTTGAAAGTCCTCATTCACATGACCAAGCTGGCCTGGGTGGTGAGCGGGATGAGAAGAGCAGTGCTGGATGGTAAAGGGGGTGTCCAGGAGAGAAGGAGATCCAGGGAGAGCAATGTCTTCCAAGTGGGGGGGAGAGGGGGAGTTTGTGCTTGCTCAGTGATTAGGGCTGGAGTGATAGAGGTCAGTTATGAGAGATGAGATTGGAAGAAGGCACGTAAGTCAGACCAAGAAGAGCATGTTGATCATTTGGAACTGTATAGATTCCCTCTCAGGGCAGCACAGAGCCACTGAGGGACTTAAGGGAGCAGTGATAAGCTCAAACTTTTCACTGGTGTTATCTCTGTCTGAGATGCCCTACTCCACAGTGTGAGCAGACACCTAGAGAACATGGGCAGCTTATATCTAGACAAACCCTATCAAATTGGTGTATTTTGCAGGCTACCTTTCCTAGATGGGTGAGAATGTTGATAGAAACTTCTACCTCAGATGGTCCTACTCAGTGCATGCTGTGTAACCTTGTCTAGGTAATCAAATTCTCTGGAGATTTAGGAGGTTGAAGCATAATTTATAAATGTCTTTGTAAGCTAGGAATTGTCAGTGGCTACAAAAAAAAGTAAAACAGAGAGAAGGAGATAATGGAGGGGAGGAAGAGGGAAAGAGGGAGAGACAGAGATAGATGGGGAATGGGGAAGGGACTATAAGAGAGAGAGAGAGAAGGGACTATAAGAGAGAGAGAGAGAGAGAGAGAGAGAGAGAGAGAGAGAGAGAGAGAGAGAGAGTAAGAGAGAGATTGTGAGATTGTGAGAAACAGAGACAATTCTGTAGCTAGCCCCAAAGCCTGCATTTAAAACTGCTTCCATGGTGGGATTTGAAAATTGCCCTGATTTTCTAACAAATAGTGTTGGGAACTCATTCTT